ACCATTGAGATGCACTGACTCAATGGAGTCAATGAAGCTCAATGGCGCTGCTGTAGCAGAGGTGTCGAACTCATTTGTTACAAGGGTCAGATCTGACATCAATGTCACTTTGTCGGGCCGGGCCATGTGTGCCATAAAATGTAATGCCAGGTACCATATATATCAACTTTATAAAGGACACAGGAAAACCCAATTTTTTTTACTCAAAATACAAACATGCTTAAAACATTAACGCTCTTACAGTATTTTCTTACAGTAGCTCCCTGATGCTCAACCTCCCACTTCCACTGCCCATTATGCATTAGCACTGGGACAGTATACGGGGAGAAAATGCACAGGCACTGTCATCTGGCAATAAAGGAAATGAACAGTTGCTCATGGGCCAGATAAGAGCTCTCAACTGACCAGTTCTGGCCCATGGGCTGTATGTTTGACACCCCTGCTATAGTAGTGTAATGCTATAGCGCTCACCTTTGAATGTTTAAAAAACAGTCCAAGGAAGACTGCACGTTGGAAAAGGGTGAGGGGGAAGCCGCATTGTAGGAAAGACTACGGACATTTTAAACAGCACAACACGCAATTCAGAAGTGCAACAAAGGGGTTGAAAATGGGGAGGGAAAGCAGTTTCCCTCAAAAGCAGCTCAACCACACTTTGCTAACCTGATACTAGTGGGTTTGTATGAACAGGTAAATAAATTCCACTAGCAGCCAATTACTAAAACGGGTCTGTTTGAAATGACAGGAAATAATCCATTAGTAACCAGTTACAAGAAGGAGGAGGAGGAGGAGGAGATTGGATTTATACCCCACCCTTCACTACCCAAAGGAGTCTCAGAGCGGCTTACTAACTTCTTTCCCTTCCCCTCCCCACAACAGACACCCGGTGAGGTGACAAAAACTGCTCTTTTTCAAGAACAGCTGTGCCAGAACTATGGCTTGCCCAAGGGTCATCCAGCAGGTGCAAGTGGAGGAGTGGGGAATCAAACCCGGTTCTCCCAGATAAGAGTCCACACATTTAACCACTACACCATACTGGCTCAGTGAGGGTGAAATTCAGTAGAGTTAGGAAGGCCAGGCTGCTACCTAGTTGTATCAGGAGCTTTCAGGAGCGGGGCAATGGGTGGAAATGATGTCTGGTGATGCGACATCAGCAGGCTGGGGAACAATGTGGCCATCCCTGAAAACTCCATGGTAAAACCCATGGCATTTTCCAGGATGGCCAGAGCACTGGGCCTTCCACCTGCCAGTTGGAGACCATGAGCCTTCCTCTCATTACTCAGAGGATCAAGGGAAGGAGGGACAACCCAAGTGGCTGGAGGCCTCTTGTGAGTGGGTAAGTGCTATCCCTAAGCAGAGTTCATCCTCCCAAACTGCCACTTCCTTTAGGGGCAATGAGCTCGGTAGTGTGGAGATGACCTGTAATTCCAGGAGAACTCCAGGCCCACCTGGAGGTTGGTGACCCTGCATGGTGCAGAAGTAGTAGAGCATCTAGTTTGCATGCAGAAGTCTCGAGTTCAGCCCCAGCATCTCCAATTAAAAGCATCAAATAGCAGGTGATTGTAAAGACCTGTGTCTGAGAGCTGTTGCCAGCCAGCATAGACAATACTGACCGGGATAGACCAAAGGTCTGATTTAGTAAAAGCACCTTCATGTGTGAAAATGACAGGTGGAAGCCAGACTGGAATGGGCCCAGAGTTGACGTGTCGTCCAGAAAACTCTGGAGCTGTTTTGCCACCGCTCTCTCAATTACCTTACCCAGAAACAAAGGCTCAAGACTGGGCAGCAATTGGAAGCATCAGTAGGATCCAGCGACAGTTTCTTTAAGTGCAGTTATTATCACAGCCTCTTTTAATCCCCCTGGACAGATGTATAAGATGTATAAAGCTGAGCTCCATCTTGAAATTTACTGTTCCAGAACAATAAGCATTGGCCGCTTCCTCACAAACCTCTAAGACTTTTAGTAGCCTTACCCATTTTTAGTACATCAGCTGTTAGTTTGTTTTTGTTGTGTTCGTTTTTTCTCTCACCTACTAAAAATCTCTTCCTCTTGCAGGAAAGCAGAAGTATTCCTTGAAGGAACGCTCTGAAGAGGAAAAACGTCTGATTGAGGGTAAATTCTGGTTAGGACTAGGGAGAGGAGGGATATATTAAAAATGCAATACAAAATCCCCTCCGGGGGGCCAAAAAAAAAAAAGATTAGCGGCCAGGGGGTCCCAGCTGGAGCATCTTCAAGTAAGTTCATAGTTTGAGAAGCTGTCCTGCAAGCTCTTGCGCTGAAGGAATGGCCTTTCTGGGGATAATAGTTTTGGTCCTTGGTGTCCACCTTAGCCTCAAGTAGGCTTATACTGAGAAAAGAGGTACTTTTCTCCCTTTCTCACAATACAAGAACTCGTGGGCACTCCATGAAATTGCTGAGCGGTCGGGTTAGAACGGACAAAAGGAAGTACTTCTTCACCCAAAGAGTGATTAACACACAGAATTCACTGCCACAGGAAGTGGCAGCGGCTACAAGCATGGACAACTTCAAGAGGGAATTAGATAAGCATATGGAGCAGAGGTCCATCAGTGGCTATTAGCCACAAGGTATAGGTAGGGGCTTTGGGGCAAGTGATGCTCTGTCATCTTGGTGCTTGGGGGGGGGTCAACAGTGGGATGGCTTCTAATGTCCTGGCCCCACTGGTGGACCTCCTGATGGCACTGGTATTTCTGGTCACTGAGTGATACAGAGTTTTGGACTGGATGGGCCTTTGCCCTGATCCAACATTGGCGTCTCTTATGTTCTTATGTTCTCTTATGTGTTGAAGGAAAGATGCCAAACTGGGCCTTAAGCAGTGCTGTCATTTAGCTTGACTTGGCCACGCTCTGCTCACGGTACACAAAGGAGCTCCATCGGTTGGCAACCTTTCTGGCCCCTCGCCAGTTAGAGGAGGAGCCACTGACTGTATCTCAGCTTCGAAACTGGCCCTGCTCCTTTCGAGCCAAGGGCAGCATTGCCACTGACTTCAAAAAGAGGTGGACTGCGCCCCACTCCCCCTCCGCCCGTCTGATGCCTAGAGCTTATTCTGCGACGGACTACTAATTAGAGATGAGCGCATCCTCAAGTCAGTGACTCACAAGCTGTGAAATCATAACACTGCAGACGTGTTTTCAACCTGAAAGTCCCACCCAGAAAGTACATGCTCCGGCTTGGATCCCGCTGTAAATTACTGAGGACAGAAGAAGAGTAGGTTTCTATACCCTGCTTTTCTCTACCCTCAGGAGTCTGAAAGTGGTTTACAATCACCTTGCCTTCCTCTCCTCACAACAGGCACCGTGAAAGGCGGGTGGGTGGGGGCTGAGAGCGTTCTGAGAGAACGGTGGCTGGCCCAAGGTCCCCCAGCAGGTTTCATGCAGAGGGAGAGTGAGGAATCAAACCCAGTTCTCCAAATTAGACTCTGGCACTCTTAACTAGTACAGCACTTTCCATTTCCATTTCCATTTCCATCAGCAGAGTGTGACGGTCTTGCTTCCCCCTTCCCACTGCATTCTCAATCCCCCCCCCCAAAAAAAGAAACACTGTTCCAAATGGATGATGGACACGGTATGAAGGGGGAACTGGAGGTCTGTAGAAGGAAGGAGGGGGAAAGGCAAAAATCACACACACACACACACCCCTTCTGTCATTAGAAACATTACGTAGGATCCAACCCCTTTGGTATCAAAACAGACCAAATCAAAACTCCCAGTACCCATTACTGTAACAGTTACAACATAATACTCAAAGTCTACTCATTTTGCAAAACCACCTTTCGGGAGAAAGAGGACACTGCGCCAATTCAGACATAAGTTCGGACGAGCCTGTCAATGACTGGGTCAACTCATTGGAATGCATCCTCACCGGAAGAAAACAGGTACCGTCCAGCACCGTGTCCTGACATGAGGACGATAAAGGTAAAGGTTCCCTTGCTCGAAAGCCAGTCAAGTCCGACTCTAGGGTTGCGGTGCTCATCTCCGTTTCAAAGCCGAAGAGCCAGCGCTGTCCGAAGACGTTTCCGTGGTAATGTGGCCAGCATGACTAAACATCAAGGCGCACGGAACGCTGCTACCTTCCCACCGAAGTGGTACCTATTTATCTACTTGCAATTTCTTGCTTTCGAACTGCTAGGTTGGCAGGAGCTGGAACTAGAGACGGGAGCTCACTCCGTCATGCGGCACCCAGGTCTCGAACTGCTGAACTACTGACCTTCCACAGCCTGCAGTTCAGCGTCTTAACCACTTGAGCCACCGCAGCTCCTAACCAACTTTAAAGCCTTTTTTTTTTTAAGTGTTTGGAATGTTTTCTTAAGAGGCTTGAGAGAGAAAGGGGCTCCGCTAAAAAGACGCTGAAAGAGAGGGTGGCCAAGTTTTGGTCTACACAGGATCCCCACCCATCTCTCCTAAGGAGTTGGGCTCTTTCCCACTCACTGAATAATGCACACTCAATGCACTTTAGTGATCACCGGCAAGTGGATTTCCCTGTTTCACACAGTACAATTCAGTCACAAAGCATACACAGAGTACTGTGTTATTTATTACGACAAATGGACACGGGCTCAAGGGAGAGAGAAGAGGCCATCCGAGAAAAGTCTGCAAGAGGTCATTCCCACTTATGGAATGCACACTGTCAGCCACTGCACCTGTGGAAGAACAGGGAGGGGCTGTGGCTCCATGGCACAGCACCGGCTTCACATACAGAAGGTCCTAGGTTCAATTCCCCAGCATCTCCAGTTAAAGGGATTTGGTGGGAAGACCTATATAGACCAACTGGCTCCATAAAAGGCAGTTTCATTTGTGCATGCATGCGCACATCAGTCCCACAATCTTAATTTTTGTGTGCCTCAATCAACATTTTGGGGCAAGGAAGGGATCGTGGAAACCAGGCAAGTCACACATACGTGTCTACACGTGCATTATCTTGCAGCTGACCTGGATAGCCCAGGCTAGCTCGATCTTGTCAGATCTTGGAAGTAAGCAGGATCAGTATTTGGATGGATGACCTCCAAGGAATACCAGGGTCATGACGCAGAGGCAGGCAATGGCAAAGCACCTCTGGAACGTCTCTTACCTTAAAAACAAGTCTAGCTCACCACCTATTGGTGCATAACGCTAAAAGAGATAGAACTTCTGGCAGCTGAAACAATCGTAGGATCTCCTGGCTATTCAACCCACAATGCCATACGATAATTATTGTTATCTTGGAGCGATGCGTGCTCCCAATCTAGAAGCCTTTGGATCGCACACCGGCACCCAGGGCTTTTTTTGTAGAGAAAGCCCAGCAGGAACTCATTAGCATAATAGACCACACCCCTGACCGTGCAGCTCATTAGCATATTAGGCCACACCCCCGTCCTTTCCTTGGTTTGCCCGGGCGCCCTGTGGCTGCGGGGAGCCCGGGCAAGCCGACCCTTGGACAGGTCAGGGAAGGCACGGGAGGCATTTAAATGCCTCCCCGATCCTTCCAGGGCCCCTCCTGGCCCACCTGCCTCAAGAGTCACCGGGGGGGGTCACTCTCCAGGCCTTCCCTCTGTAGCCACACAGAGGTTTTGCCTGTAGTGGCCGTGGCCAACTCTGAAGCCAGCCGGAGCTCCGTTCCTGTGCGTTCCTGCCCAAAAATAGCCCTGCCGGCACCTATTTCTGGGCTTCCATCAACTGAACCCTCCCGGCAGCCACCTTCTCCACCATCTATATCCGTACAATTTGGAGTGAGACTCACCGAAGAGGGAGCAGGAGGCAGTACCTCACAAAGACCCCAATGACCCAGACCACAGACAGCCGTAAACTGATGTAGTGGAAGTTGATGTTGGTCCTGGTGAGGAGATTCCAGGAGACCAGCTCCTCCGACGTGAACCTCTGGGTGACCTCGTCTTCCACGATGGCTTCAACACCCTTTTTGCAGTAATAGAAAGCGTCGGAGAGTTCGAAGTCCCCTCGCCGCAGGCCCGCAATCGCCTCCTCCATTGTGGTGTGATCTCTTTGTATGATAACTTCAAAGCAAGGAGAAAAAAATGTACGTAAAGCCACAGGATGATATTGAAGCCAGGCAGGAGTATAGCAGCTGTCCCTTGCGCAGCTTCAAAGGAACGCCTAGTACCGTTTTCATGTTTAATTTATGCTCTACTTTAAAGAAGGACAGTTAGCAACATTCTCTCCTTGGAGGAATTTATTTATTTTATGTATTCAGTTGATAACCCAACCCCCTCTCCTCAACAGAGGACTCGGGGCGGTTTACAAACATAGCATTAAAACATGAATAGTTGATAAAACCTATAGATAGATACAAATGAGGACAATAAAAACATAATGAAAATTCAAATGGCCATCAGGTTAGGAACAAATCTGGAGTGCCAGCCAGCTTATCCATTCTATAATATGTTCAAATGTGGTTCACATCTGATGAGCCCCTTGTGCCTGGATCAGACCAAAGCTCTGACTAATCTAATATTGTGTTTCCAACAGATAGAAGAAGAGAAGAGATTGGATTTATAGCCTACACTTCACTACCCAAAGGAGTCTCAGAACGGTTTACAGTCCCTTCCCCTCACCACAACAGACACCCTGTGAGGTAGGTGGGGCTGAGAGAGCTCTCTCGAGAACTGCCCTTGAGAGAACAGCTCTGAGAGAGCCATGACTGACCCAAGGTCACCCAGTTGGCTGCATGTGGAGGAGTGCATATACTCAAACCTGGTTCTCCCAGATTAGAGTCCGTGCTCCTAACCACTACACCAAACTGCTGCACAAAACAAGGCAGCCTTGCATGCCCTACGGAACCCTAATAGATCCTGTAGGGCATGAACCTCCTCAGGAAACTGGTTCCAGAGGTCAGGGGTAACTACCAAGAAGGCCCTGCCATAGTGGATGCCAAATGAGCAATCTGGAATCATTTGCCTTTGGATGTCACATGATCTACTCACGTGCCCCAGGGAGGAGCTCTGGCTCAGTGGCAGAGCTTCTGCTTGGTGTGCAGAAGGAACCTGCTTCAATCTCTGGCATCTCCAGTTAGAAAGGCCAGGCAATAGGCGATGGGAAAGAACATCTGCCTGGGACCCCAGAGAGCCACTGCTGTCTAAGTAGACAAGACTGACCGTGATGATGGACTGAGGGCCTGATCCGCTACAGGGCAGCTTCATGTGTGTTCATGTTCATAGTTTTTCAGGGGGGGCATGAAGATCCACACATGGATCAACTCATTATCAAGAATCCATGGGAGATATTGGCACTGTAAGGACAATTTCATGAAACGCACTTGCGATCCGTTAAGCAATTGCCAACTCCATAAGAGAAGGGCCGGCGTTTCACCTGTGGGGGTGATACTGGAAGTTCACCAGGTAGTGAGTGCAGCAGGTCTGCTTGGTCAGCAGTATTCAGTCTTTTCAGCCACACTGAGCTCCAAGTCAATGCCAGGAAATCACAAGACAGGAAAGGGGGGGGGCAGAGTTATGACCTCTCTCCTGCCAAGGTCAGGACCATGGACAGCAGACCAAGAGGGCTGGGCCCTGGAAACACCAAGTCCAAATACAAGGAGATGCACCCAGTAAGGGACAGAAGAAAGGTCAGAGCTTTCCTGCCACTGAGTGCCCTCGCACTGGTGCTGCTCCACTCAGAGGGCATGCAAAGACAGAGGAGGCATGGCATCCTCACACTCTAAGCATGCGCACCAGCAACAAGTCCTTCCAAAAAGCAGCATGTAAAAAAGGTGGCTGTACAGGTGTTCACATCCCCAGACAAGGCTGCAGTGTGGGATACTGCACTTCTTGGCACATAAGGGCTCCTTTCCCACGTAGCTGGCTGCTTTCACACACACACACTGGACAATGCACTTTTCACACACATTGGACGATGCGCTTTCAATGCACTGTAACCATAATTTGCAACTGGAGTTTCCTGTTTCACCCAGGAGAATCCAGATGCAAATGATTGCTAAAGTGCATTATTCTACACATGTGAAAGCAGCCACTTAAAGCGTTGACGTACCACTTTTCTGACAAGTAATCAAAGCTGTTTCCAACAGTACAGTAAAACATGAACCTTGAAACATACAACCCAACAGCCAAAAGATTTAAGCCATACAAGAGCAGGTCAGTTCCCAAATGGCCTTTGGAAGAATTCCCCCTTGCGTTTCTCTTTCCTGAAGACCAGTGGAGCCCCCCGCTCTTCTCTAGGAAGCACATTCCAAAGGGCTGAGGCTGCCCCTGGAAAACTAGACACAGAGACTTCCTCACTGGGACTGCAAGTGACCCCTGCTGAGACGAGCACAGGGCTCTCAAGGGCTCGTGGCCAACGGCCCTTGTGAACTGGCCCGAAATGCATTCCCTGCCTTTTTGGCACTGGGTGACACCCTGTCCTGCATGGCCCAGGCTAGCCTGATCTCATCAGATTTCAGAAGCTAAGCAGGGTCGGCCCTGGTCAGTATTGGGGTGGGAGACAGCCAAGGATCGCTACACAGAGGCAACCACCTCTGGAACGTCTCCTGCCTAGAAAACCCCCTGGAATCACCAGAAGTCAACAGCAACTTGACAGCCAAAAACCCCAACCACAGGCCCTGACCTGGATGGCCCAGGCTAGCTCAATTGCTTCAGATCTCAGAAACTGAGCAGGATTAGTATTTGGGTGGGAGGCCACCAAGGAAGCCCAGGGTTGCTATGCAGAGGCAGGCCGTGGCCAACCACCTCTGCTTATCCCTTCCCTCGAAAACCACACGAGGGGTTACCATCAGTCAGCTGCGGCTTGATAGCCCTTTCCACCACTTGTAGGAGTGATGCTCACATGCCAAGGTCTGGACACTCCCCACCCTGCTACAGAGGGGAAAATCCCGACCAAACAGCATCCTTCCCCGGGGAAGGAAACAACTTGTTCTCCTCTCTCTCTATCCTAATCTCTATAAATGCACTCATCAGTCCCTTCAGAACAGAACGCAGCACATTTGGCTACTGTTTGCCTTCTAGCTCTCCTTCATGGAAAAGATCTCCCCCATTTTATTATTGCCGCAATCCTGAGAGCCAAGTAGGGCCGAGATTGCCCAGTTAAATTGTGATGGAGTGGGGATCGGAATCCAGACCTCCGTGATCCAAGTCCAGTACTCTGATTCCGTTCCATCCAAGTGGCAAGTCCAATATTCTGACTAAGTTCTCGCACGTGGCACATCTTCAAGTTCTCAGTTGAGGCTCAAGTAGCCAAATGCTTCAATGTACAAAACAAAATTCCCTATACGGAGAACTAGCTGTCAGGAAGAAGAGCTCCAACTAGCCTTCCCAAGATCTTGTTTTCTACATATGTGTGTGTGTGTGGAGGGGGGGCATGTATGCACATGGGGAAGAGCATTTGATCAAAGAAAGGCTGAAGTCCTATGAGGAAAGGTTGAAGGAGCTGGGTATGTTGAGCCTGGAGAGAAGACGACTGAGAGGTGATATGATAACCATCTTCAAGTACTTGAAGGGCTGTCATGTAGAGGATGGCGCGGAGTTGTTTTCTGTTGTCTCAGAAGGTCGGACCAGAACCAACGGGTTGAAATTAAATCAGAAGAGTTTTTGGCTAAACATTAGGAAGAACTTCCTGAATACAAGAGCAGATCAGTTCCCAAATGGCCTTTGGAAGAATTCCCCCTCGTGTTTCTCTTTCCTGAAGGCCAGTGGTGCCCCCCATTCTTCTCTAGGAAGCACATTCCAAAGGGCTGAGGCTGCCCCTGGAAAACTAGACACAGAGACTTCCTCACTGGGACTGCAAGTGACCCCTGCTGAGATGAGCACTGGGCTCTCAAGGGCTCATGGTCAACGGCCCTTGTGAACTGGCCCGAAATGCATTCTCTGTCTTTTTGGCACTGGGCTCAGGAAGCAATTTTCCTCTAGGCCGGTTTGGCCAGGGATCCTGGAGGTTTTTTGTCATCTTCTGGGCACAGAGCAGGGGGCACTGGGGTTGTAGGGGGAGGGTACTTGTGAATTTCCTGCCTTGTGCAGGGGGTTGAACTAGATGACCCTGGAGTTCCCTTCCAATTCTATGATCTGCAGACTGAACATGGAGGACCCACACCTTGATTTACTCCTTCAGTCAGAACTAGGCCTCAAGGAGTTAGCAAGAACTGTTCCTGAAAAAGGCCACACAGCCTGCCCTCTAGTTCTGAGGAAACCTTCTCACGGTCACCCCTGCCCTAGGAGAAGACACACTGCTTCTTCCCCCTCAGGCTCTGACTCGTCCCTGCCTGACCTACCACAGTCAACAGTGCCTCACCTCTCACCCCCACTGTCAGGGGAAAGCTGAGGCCTACTAGGCCAAACGTTCACCCAGTGACCTAGTGCCCCGAGCCCACAAGACACATCTTGATTTCCACGGAGAGCTTAAAAACAGAGCAGTTAACATCTGAACTCTGTCTGCACTAGGGAAGCCCAGACAAAAGTGTGAAACTGTTCATTACCAAACCACGTTGCCCAATGTTGTTCTTGTACACCCTGGAGGCAATGGGGCCACCGAGATACGCTGTCGCTGTCGGATAGGCATACCGTCGCTCAATTAAAGCAGCCACGTCACTGACCCTGGGGCAAGCAGCCAGCTGGGAAGGCACCAACCTGTCTATCCCTTCACCTGCCACACTGGAAATTCCACTCTTCTCTTTCTCGTTCTATTTACTGGATCGTATGCGGCTCAATTATTACAGAGGCCCACCCTCTCCCTGCCTGGAAGAGCTGTGCCAATTGGAGTCTGGCCTGCCCCTTAGACGCTGAGACACTCGAATCCTGCCAGAAAGGAGTGGCGGCAACCCTAGAGGATACTGGAGGTTCCCCATGTAACATAAGTCACTGCTGGCTTCAGAGAACAATACAATCCTTCAAGCCAACAGCTGGCTGAGAGAGAAAGGCATGTCACAGAACCTGGATCCAATGAATTATGCAAGCACCGGCTAGCATTTAAAGCGAGGCAGCGCACATATGAGGCACTGCTGAGGCGTTAAGTAGCTCTGGGTCACATTCACAGAGAGCCAGCATTTGCTGGGGGGGCGGGGAGAAGAAGAGGAGGAGGAGGAGGAGGAGAGTTGGATTTATACCCCAGCCTTCACTCGGAGTCTCAGAGCAGCTTACCATCTCCTTCACTTCTTCTCCCCACAACAAACACCCTGTGAGGTAAGTGGGGCTGTCAGAGCTCTGAGAGAACAGCTCTGACAGAACTGTGACTGACCCATGGTCACCCAGCTGGCTGCATGTGGAGGAGTGGGGAATTGTGGTGTATTCAATCTGACAATGTATGTATGTGGACTCACTCATTGAATCACCATGTGAAGCTTTCATCCAGGGCTAGGATCCTAATCCTTCAATTGTAATTGGTAGCCCAGGAAGAGCCGACCAATCACCAACAGCCAGTTCCAAGAGCGGGAACTACTGTGATTGGACTTTATCCCTGCAACCTCATAGGTTGGTATTTGTATAGTAGGCGTGGCTACATTCGCCGGGAGAGTTTAAAAGTGGAACAGCTTCAATGCTAAAGCTGTTCTGGCTATTCATGTTGATCTGTTTGGAGTTGAGTTACGAGTTGCTGAATAAAGCTGATCTTTTGCTGAAATCACTCTCTGACTCTTTCTTAAGTAACCGACTTAACAGGAATCAAACCCGGTTCTCCAGATCAGAGTCTACCGCTCTTAACCACTACACCAAACCGGTGAAAAACCTTGGCAGCTGGGGGGGGGGGATGACAGGGTGTGAAGGAACTCTAAGACGATTGTCTCCCTTTCTTTGTTAAGCCCTCTACAGGAAGAGATCCAAGGGCAAAATGCCTCTGTACGCACAGACAAGGAACAAATCCAGAACTTCATCCTTCGTCTTCTCCCTCCACCCCAGGCCCCAGTCAACCACGTCCGACAGCCACATCATATTGCCAATATCCCAACCACAGCAAGGGGAAAGCACCATTTCACAACCAGGGTAAAAGGAAATCGCATTAAGCAACTGCCCTTCCTCACAAGAGGAGGCGACAAAGTCCCAAGGAACCACAGAGAAAGGGATGTTGCAACTAAGGACACCAGCAACAACAAAAAAATCAAGAATTACTTGGATAATCTACTTTTCAGCCAGTGGACTGATCAAATACGTTTGTGCTTAACGAAAAGCTTGTGTATTTAATAGTCGCCTTCCGACCCCAAAGATCTCTATCACAGGAATGCATTTCAACCCAAACTAAGTGAACATGTAAAATACAAACGAAAGAAAACAAACGAACTCTGAACCACCACCCCTTAAAGTTTGCCTTCTGCAATTAATTAACTAAGCCTTTCGTTGATCCATTTACTTATTAAGCCAATTAAAGCTCGCAGCCCTCCTGGGAATCCAATCAGACGGAGCAGACAAATAAGCTAGTTGCTAGCGGGGAATCCTGTGTGACGTTTACCATTCCTTGGAATTCCACTGGTTGGATCTAGCCAGCTTTTCCACTCTGCCTTGTCCAACTCGCCTCCTTGTTACAGCCCCCATTCCACATGGCTTTTTGTCTGTGTGTCTGCACGTGCACTTCTGACTTATGGCAACCCTGTGAATTAATGACCTCCAAAACTTCCCATTGTCAACAGCCTTGCTCAGGGTCTTTCCACCTGTGGGCCCTCGTGGCTTCCTTGATGGAGTCCATCCATCTCACGCTGGGTCTTCCTATTTCCAGCTGCCTTCAGCTCTTCCTAGCACGGTTGCCTTTCCCAGTGACTCTTGTCTTCTCATCATGTGACCAAAGTACGACAGCCTCAGTTCAGTCATTTCACCTTCTAGAGAGAGTCCAGGCTTGGTTTGATCTAGAGCCCACTAGTTTGCCTTTTGGGCCGTCTACAGTATCTGTAAAACTCTCCTCCAACCCCACATTTCAAATGAATCAGATTTCTTCACTGTCCACCTTCCGCATAGGCCCCATTATCTCCAAGAGGGGGGGGGACCTCCTTTCCCACCAGTGGAAAAGCTGCTTCGATCCAACTTCATAATTCCATCAAGAAAGCAACCACTCCCACAAAATAAAATTTCCTTAGCTTTGCTGCTTCATCGTAACCCAAAATGAGCTCATGCAAGCATGTAAATGGCCATGCTGCTGGTTACCTACAGCTGGCAAGAATCGCCTCCAGGCAACCAGACAGAGAATCCACACTGGATTATTTTGAGCCACATGCCCCCCCTCCCCTGCCACCCAAAGTGCAAGCAGGAGACCTATGAACAATCCTTCTAGGCAATCTGTCAATTTGCAAAGTTGCTGTTGTTGTTCAGTCGCACAGTCGAGTCTGACTCTCCGCGACCCCATGGACCAGATCATGCCAGGCCTTCCTGTCTTCCGCCGCCCAGACTGTTACCAAAGTTACCAGACCGAAAAATTGCACCAGCATTCAAGAGCCTTGACAAATCCCAGAACCGTAACCTTCCCTTACGGAACTTATTTTTCATCCCTGAACAAACCCTGCCACCGCTTCTGCTCCTGGGGCCAAAGCAGGCATGACATAACAGATCTGCGATTAGGATCTTCTATAGATTCCTAAAAGCTGAATCTGCATGCGAGAGGAGACAGGTACAAATGCCTAAAGCAGTTATTTTTCCCCTGCTAATCGAGGCTTTGGAAGGAAAGCTCCCAAAGGTCGGAGGAACGAATTGAATGCTCCCTCTCTCTCCTCTATCGAATCTGGTCTGGGGCACCTGTGAATAAAGGGTATGGATCTTGTGTCAATTATGGATCTCCTTTTGGCCTTCAAACTTCTCTTCCCACTGCCCTACGATAGTATAGCGCTGTAAAGGATTTAAGCCAGTGTTGGGGTTGGGGACAGAAACCAGCTTACCATTTGAACTGGGAATTTTCTGTACTTCTGTCCGCTGCTCTCGTATTCCTTTCTGAATTCGCCGGGTGGCCCACTGTTTGAAAGAAGGGGGGGAGAAGCAGATGAGGTCATCCTGTTAAGAAGGTATGTGCATAACACTGCATATCCTTCCGATATCATAACGATCCAGATGATCACAGGAGAAAGTTGTTGCTCTGCTCTTAAAGGCATTGTTTGCATACAAAAAGAAAAACTTCAAAGGGAGACTCCAATGTGAAATTGAAGAGTTCATTAACAAGTTCAAGACTATTCCCTCCCCTCCTCCCATCTTAACAAAAATCTGGAATTCCTCACTTATTATTGGTGATAATATCTTGCATAACTCAACCCTTAAAATATGTTAAACATACTGCCTTAGATCAGCTTATTTTGTTTCCTACTGTACTTGAGTCTCTGTTTATCTTATTTTGCCTACCTGACATCATTTGGGAGTATCGTTTGTGTAATTAAAAATAATCTATTTCAACAAGACAACAGACCCAATTTAAATCAAGTTTCTCCATTTATACTTCAGGTATTTCCTAAATATAGGTGTAACTGACAACTAAACTGAGGATTTGCCGTGCCCAGGAGACCACACAATGCACAGCTAAGCATGGAAGAATAAGAAGCAAACTATGCAATCCCCTGAACACTAAGGGTATAAGTCCCAGTATCAAACACAGATAATTCATCCAGTCACTCATTGTCTTTCAGTGAAGGAAGGAAGGATTTCCCACTTCCTGACAATAAACATTATACTAATAAAACAGGAGTCCTGTGGCACTTTGGAGATAATTTATTGCAGCACAAATTTTCATGAGTGACAGCTCACTTCATTAGATGCATGGAGTATAAATCCATTAGACTGATGCATTTATAGTAACAACAGGAAGGCCTGAGGCCTGGGGAGGGGGGAATGAGACGTTACCAACAAGACTGCACCTACTGAAGTGAGCACTGATCAGGGTTGCCAGCCTCCAGGTGGGGCCTGGAGATCTCCCGCTACTACACTTGATCTCCAGATGACCAAGATCAGTTCCCCTGGGGAAAATGGCTGCTTTGGAGGCTGGACTGTAAGGCATTATACCCTGCTGAGGTCCCTCCCCAAACTCACCCTCCCCAGGGTCCACCGCCAAAACCTCCAGGTACTTCCCAAACCAGAGCTGCCAACCCTAGCACTGATTCACAGAAACTTACATGGGAATAAACATTGTTCGTCTTTAAAGTGCCACAGTCCTCCCAATTCATTTTGCTCGCACAGACTAAACGCAGCTACCCTCCTGGAATCTTATTATACCAATACAATGCTTAACCTCACCAGTGAGTAAAAATTTCCCAAGGTGTGTGTGTGTGTTTTTAACAAATAGGACCTCCATTCAATAGGTCTGATATACTATCATATCAGCAGCTTCCTGAAGGGTCATGGATTCAGTGTTGACTTATTGTGACATTTTCAGGTTGGTAGCCATGTTGGGCCCTGACTTGGCCTGGATGGCCCAGGCTAGCCCAATCTCAGAAGCTAAGCAGGGTTGGCTCCGGTTAGTATTTGGATGGGAGACCACCAAGGAAGTCCAGGGTTGCTACGTAGAGGCCAGCAATGGCAGACCACCTCTGAATATCTCTTGCCTTGGCTGCAACTTTTTTTTTAAGCCCCCGGAGGGGATTTTTTATATATATATATATCACTACAAAAACTACAACAGAAAAGGGGGAGGGAAAACTACATTTACGGGATAAAGCAAAGAACCCACTACTAACTAAACTCCCAAGAGGGGAGATCCTCCAACTAGCTTAGTTACATTCAGTCTTCCCATCATTTATAACATTATAAACTGAGTCAAGCTGTTAGTACTTTTCTTTTAAGCTTAAATTTAAACTGCCTACAAACAGTACCCCCGATCATCCCGTTTCAAAGTTCACAAAGGCACAATTCAGAGTCCTTCAGCCTTTACTTCTCCTTTCCCCGTCTCTTCTGCAACTTATAGGGACTTTTTGGGGCCGCTGCCCCTTGTTCTGACAGAGAGTCCTCTCCGGAAGAACCCGAGTCTAGCTCGCCACTAGACTTGCTGTCATCTTCTTTTTTCCCGTCCCCTGGTCTTCCCAACTGAGCCCTTAGGAATTCTTGAGCTTTCGGAACAGAGTCACCTTGGCTGCAACTTGATGGTCCTTCCCAACACCAGCTGTGCTACTCTGCAGGAGAAGAGCAAGATCCAAGCCCAGCAGCCCCGTGAAGGCCAACAAGATCTCCAGGGCATGAGCTTTGGAGAGCCAAAGGTCCCTTCTTCGCCAGGTCTTTAACCTGCTACTAGACTCGAATGTCGCCTTTTTATTGCTACATTTGTCTTACAATCTCACCCTTTTTGTTACAAAAGGATGAAAAAAGTTTACTATAGCAACAAATTTTACACCTCTCCCCCCTCCGCCCACAGCCTGCAAGGATCAAACAGCAACAGTTAGAAGCCTCTCTTCTCCGCAGCCATGGTGGGAACTTGAGACCCACCCAGTTCACGGCAAAGAAAACATAATAATAACAATTATTATTATTATTATCATTATTTCAGGGCTCTTTTTGTAGAAAAAGCCCAGCAGGAACTCATTAGCATATTGGGCCACACCCTAACAGCACAGCTCATTA